TACACTATCTGATTATCGGAATTTGTCGGGCAATTGCAACAATCTTGGAAATTCGAACATATCAATCGTAAAGGAAATCTTCCAGCTGATGGTTTAGCCAATTAGTACTCAGTTGATCTTCCTAGCAATATTAGGCACATGTTATATTTAGATCGCATAGATCTTTGTAACTATTGTAAACATTGGGGGTACTATTTTCCTTGTTCTAGGCCGACGCGGTTTTTAATGAGACCCCCCGTGCCTTCATGAAATAAAATTTTAATTTTGGCCATTTTTTTTTGGGTAAAATACACTTTTGCACCCTTGTACTATTGAAAAGATCGCATTCACCCCCTATAGTATGAAAAACTACAAACACCCCCCTATTTTTAACAGTCAATGGTCAAAAAATTGACACCGTTAAAAATTATGGTGCATTTACTTTTCTACCCTCACATTTACCATTTTTGTGGTTAGGTCTCATCCAGTGGAAGTAGGCTCTGGTGGAGCAGGTATCTGATCGAAATGTACTCATCCTGAGATGGTTTTGTGTTGGATTAATCCGATCAGGTGTTTATGCTTGGTTTTTCGGTTCTTGCTATATTCCAAGTGAGCTTGATGAGGATTTATTCTTGACCGTGCAGATCCCGGAAATTAAGCAATCCGACATCCCGGAATGCAATCCGACATAATCATTTTAGTTTTATAGATCACCCATTTTCAGAGCTTGGGGAGGACTTGTTTGTCACCAATATTTACGTATTTTTTTTTTTTTTCGGATTCTTAGCCATATTTATGCAAAGGGAAAGTTTACTTTATTTTTCTTATAATTTTATATTACTTTTATATTGCAATATATTTTCACTTTTTTTATAATTATTTTGCCAATTGTAATACATGATATTTAGAAGATGTTATAATAATTTTCTAAATCATTAATTGAAATTTGAAATAATTGCCAGCTTTGACCGACATAATAACTAACCGCAGAGGGCTTTTTGTAGTTTTTGATACTACATGGTTGAATGCGACATTTTCAATAGTACAATAGTACAAAGTTTATTTTAAAAAAATTATTGTAACTAAATTCTACCAAGTTTATTTATATTGCTCATATTTATTTTTGGGTAAATAGCACTTTACCCCCTTGTGGTTTGGACATTTTGCACATGACCCCCTTATGGTATGAATTTAGGCACATAACCCCCTTGTGGTTTTGACATTTTGCACATGACCCCCTTATGGTATGAAATTAGGCACATAACCCCCTTGTGGTTTTGAAATTTTGCACATGACCCCCTTATGGTATGAAATTACCATATAACCCCCTTGAATAGAAAACTGGAAAAAGACCAAATTACCCCTATCAAGTAAAAAAAATCTTGTTTTAATTTAAAAATAATTATTCTATAAAATGAAAAGCTTAATGTATTTTTTTGTATAATGAGAAATATAATATATTATTGTCTTTTTTTTTTACAGCACAAAACGTATATAATACTAGTTATTATACGATTGACAATTTATTCGATTTTAAAAATCAATTTGAAAATCTTTAACATTATCATTAATTATGATCATTATATTGCTATTTTCTATATAATATATTATATTATACTTGTTATCGAACTTTAATTTTTTTAAGAAAAAAAATCTTTATTTTTTTATTCTTTTGGAAAAATCTAAAAAACACATTTCTCTAAAGTTGAAATGATAATTAAATTTAAAAAAATATATGTGCTGTAAAATAGAAAAAACACAATAATATATTATTATATTTTTCATTTTACAAAAAAGTACATTAAGATTTTCATTTTATAGAATAATTATTTTTTAAATTAAAACAAGAACTTTTGACTTGATTGGGGTTATTTAGACTTTTCCAGTTTTCTATTCAAGGGGCTTATGTGTTAATTTCAAACCATAAGGGGGTCATGTGCAAAATTTCAAACCCACAAGGGGGTTATGTGTCTAATTTCATACCATAAGGGAGTCATGTGCAAAATGTCAAAACCACAAGGGAGTTATGTGCCTAAATTCATACCATAAGGGGGTCATGTGCAAAATGTCAAAACCACAAGGGGGTTAAGTGCTATTTACCCTTTATTTTTTTAAATCACTTCTAACATACCTAATAATATGTTTTTTAGATTCGGATTGAAATTATAAAATCTTGGGGAAGACATTTTCTGAATTTTTAATAAAGTTAGATTGACATCCATATAATTCGAAATATTAAAAAACAATCTTCTCGAAAAACAATATATTAAAAAGAATTCTTAAACCATGTAACACATATATGCAAATATAACTATGGGTTTTTGTGCACGTGTCCCTAACCATATGCATCTTTATTATTCTAGGTTTATGGATTATATCTCTTTCATTAATAAGGCCATCTCTTTAATATTTATTATAAATAGGGGCTATAAGTGAGAACCCCTATAGCATTTGCTTATTGAGGGTGGGTGCAACTCCTTTTCTCTTATTACTGATAGGTCCAATTTTTTCTTTATTCCAAATTTACCCTTCCCTATTCTTTACTACTCACTACTTTAATGATTTTTTTTTCATTTTTTATTTTTTTTTTAATTACAATTTTGTTTTTTTTCAGAATAAAATTTTTGAATTTTTATTTTTTTTAAATAGTATTTTTGAATTTTTTTTCAACAATATTATTTTGAAAAAATTGTCTTTTTTTTCAATTTTTTTTCTTTTTAGTTTTTGGTTTTCAAAATAAACTAACCTTTTTTTTTCAAAAACATCGATAACATTTCCGAAATCAACTACAAATTTTCCAAAAACAACTATGAAAACTACTGAAAACAACTATTTTTTTTTCGTTTTTTTCCTGAATCAACTATGAAAAAACTGTAACACAATTATAAAAAATAGTGGTTTAGTTTACAGTCAACTACAAATTCACGAATCAACTATAAAAAAATCGAAATCCACTATAAAATTATCAAAATCAACTACAAGAATCGAAAACAACTACATATTTTCATAATCAACTACAAAATAAACAACTTCAATTTTAGAGAAAACTTCTATAAATTCATTTCTTCTACTCTGCCATGGCTGAGATAGGAGTTTTCTTCCAGAGATAGGACCAAGGTACAACTCCGATCATATGAGTTTTTTTCCACAGGTCTTCGTAGATTTCGAATGTGCTATGCATAAAATAATTCGATGTCCGCAACTATTTCATACATAAAGACAAACACAAAACAATTCAATAAAAATTCAAATCACAACACACAATAATATCCAAAATATGTAATAACATCAATAAATTGATGACTCTCTATTTAAACAAACGCAAGACTCAAATCACAAAATAAATCAACAAATAAGACATGATAGAAATCGAATCCTACTGTTATTTGACAATTGAATCAGGACAACAATGTCATAACAATTAATCTAAAAAATCAATCAATTGTAAAATAAAAAAAAATGATTAAATAATGAAGGAATTTGATAGACAAACCCAAATAATCTCGTTTGCTTCGATCCGGATCTCATCGTCACCGGTGTTACGCCGTCATGAAGGCTAAGAGGTCGTTGACGTCGGATCGGAGTCAGCTGATGTTGGAAGTTGTTGCCAACAAAAAGCTGGAGAAATGGATTGGAAAAGAAGCTTCGTCATCTTCTTCACAATTGCCCTTGACTGCACATAAAAAGGC